AATGAATATCATATAATATTTATGGAAAAAAATGTAGATATTGAATTTCAAATTAATTAAAAAAATGGTCAAGCTTTCAGAATTGTTTACTACCTTCATCAAGACATTAACTTTAGGTTTAAATAAAGTCCGCAAAGATTCCGTAACTATACATTAATGACACTTGAACTAACAGCTGAAAAATAATAGTTTCTGTGGTGGAGGGTTTCACTAGATTTTCATGACATCGGGCTGTTAATCCTTTCAAAATTGGTAGTTTATCTGTCTAATTAGAAAATCCCAGGTTCCCTTTTTATCTACGTACGTATTATAATCAAAATGAATGCAATAAATCATGTTGTCAAGCAATATCATCTTTATAAATGAAGAACATTTTATAAAACCATTTTCGATATTGTTTCTCTTTGATTTCATGGAGTCCACTTGTTTTTTCGGATTGCAAACAAAAAAAACATTTTCTCTGAGTTTCAATATTTTTAAACTATATGCTACAGTATAAATAAGTTCTAATGGAATTTTTTTTGATGGAAAAATAATATATGAGTTTTGCTATTTTATATCAATAATGACGAATTATTTGAAGATAAGTAAAAGAAACTAAAAAAGTCTAATTCAGAATTCAGTGCATTTGGAAATGTAACTGCATTATTCTTTTTACTTTACATCGCATCATAAAAATCAGGTTGAATATTGAATTACAAATTTATAGTCCAATCTAAGGTGCCATTGTTTTGGCGGTAACTGAAGTGTCACTACTGTATCGTTATGGAATATTGTGACTTAACACAAAATAAAAACAATAACCACCAGTATGTAAAATACTTTGAGCAAACACACAACATTTCAGATGTGTAAAAATTCGAATATTTGAGTGGTGATCCACATGCTATTAAACATCACTGAAATGTTTATGAAGAAATATCACAAATGTTCAGATATCTAAAATGTTTGCTCAAAGATGTTACATACTTGTGGAAATTGTTTTGTGAGGGCATGTACCTGTCTGTGTTTGACGGACTCCTCATAAACGGTAACACATGCTAAAATGTTATCCAGGGTGTACATCGGGAAGATTTCATCTACCAAATTTGTATGTTCTTGGTAGCTGAATTCAAAACCTACCAATCAGAATACATACATAGCATAGCAGAATACATAGCAAGTGAGATCGTGCCTCAACGTGATTGTGTCAAAGATGAACACCCGGAATAACACTTCAACATAGAAGCTCGGTCATCATGCGCGTAATGAAGAAGCGTCCTGCGTTTTCTGCAGAATTATGTTCGGTTTAACCTGAAACTCGTATCACGAAATGAAACAGATTTTTTTATTGCCGTGATATTCTCAGTACGCAACTAGCTTTCGACATGAGCACATTCATGTGTGAATGATATGTTTGTTTTCCATGCGTTCCAGCGATATTTCAGGGAAGGAGACACTGAAATATATCTAATATATTGGATTAGGTAGTTTCAGCAAACAATAGAATTTGGTAGAATCGTTTAAATTCAGAAAAAATGTCTTAAAAGGACATTTTTAATGGTTGTCAAAAGTATCAAAAGATGATGTTTACAAAGTAGCGTGTTACAAATATTTTTAACACTGGTGTTAAAAGTATTTTAACATGATTTTTTCCGACCAAACACTAATAAACAAAACATATATATTTAATTTTCAAGGAAGTTTTAATATGAACACTAGATATACATTCATTACATTATTATTGTTATTTATGAACATTAATATGAAAAGTTCAATTAGAACAATGGCTGATATTAATATCTTGCGATATTGAAGAACCTTGTAATATATATTAGACCTATCTGAGTTGACCATTTCATGGGCATAAATATTTAATTCTTGAAGCAAAGAGGACGATGCTGTATCGCTGGAGATAGCTGTTGAGATTATTCTCTCAGCAATAGCCTTTTTATAAGAAAGTAATCCTCAGGTACTGTTTAGACTTTCATCCTCCGTGCTTCTTAATATCCGTTATATTTGCTCCTGATTCTGTTAGCGAAGAAGCAGAAGACCTTATGAAATTGTAACCTGTATAGTCATTTGGTTCCGGGAGGTTCAGAAACTCAGCAATGGTTGGCACTGCATTTATAATTTTACTCTTTTTGCAGTCTCTTCAATATCATCAGGAACACACAATAGAAATATTAAATTTATCTATTTTATTATGGAAACAGGACAGTTATAAAAAAATGTGTATGATATTTGTTTTAAAAATAAGTCTTATTTTGTTGATGAAATTCCTTAACTCGCTGTGCTCGTTTCGCAAACTTTTTCACTCACGAAATAAAACGTTACTTTTAACACTCATATCATAAATAGCTATTTTTAAATGAATATTTTTCAGTCGTCAGGGGAATCATGGTCTTTTCTAAGAAATATTGATTGATGTATTGATTAGAAATTGACTGAAACCAATAATGTATTTCGGCTTGATTCTTTGGGAAAAGCATATTATGGTATTATACTTCAAAACAATATCATTAGAAAGATGAAATCTTGTTTTTTCGCAAAAATGCGGAAACCGAGTCGATAAGACGGTTATCATTTGCAGCAGTTCTCAAGAATTCGTGCATAGAATGAGTGCGCTGGAGATATGATATTTGAGGCGTTTACCGAAGGAACATTACTGTTTACTATATATTGAACGGATTTTAGCACTGTAACCTTGAAGAGGCACAAGCCTATAGCAGGGCCTCAACTTATAAGTAAATTTTTATTGTAAATCATTAACACAACCCCAAAAATGAATAAAAACTTGATCAGCAGCAGCACGGAAGGGCCTTGCTTTGCTGACTTCGGATTTTATTATTGTTCGTTTCCTCAAATTTTTCACGGATTTCGTCATGGAATTGGATTGAATTGCACTATTTGTGTATTTCTGCATACGTAATGTCACTCATTGTTTGGTTCTTGTAAGAACCGTTCAGTGAATGACATTTTTAGGTCGTCTTAACCGTTACATTTTGCAGGTCTAGTGCTATTCAGAGTAGTACGCCGAGGAACGCTCATCGTCAAGGTGGGTCGCGAACAAGGGTGAACTTAAAATTTGGGAAAAACATTAAATCCTTCCCTATGATTATTTCCACATCAGGGCCATTTCAGGGAAATTTTTGCGAACTTTTTGAAGGTTAGGAACGAACAAGCGTGAGCGCAATGAATAGCAACCCAAGTTCAGCAGGCCCAGTATTCTGGCCAACTTTCTATATCAGGTTCGATTCGATGTTATGACAATTCCCGGGAACTCCCGATATCTGTCATCACTCTCAGAGATCGTTTAGCTAGCCAAAACGCGCAGAGTTTCTCAAAATTCCATTTCGTGAAGAAATCAAGAATTTTTAATTTTTGTGTGAATCGAAATAGGGTGAATCCTCAGCAAAGAACAGAAGACGTTTATCGGAACGCAACGAGGGATTCTACTCCAACACTAGATCACCTAGAGTCGCTCAGAGAGACGTTACTCTCGACTATGGAGTGAAAAGTGCAACGATGGAGCACTTCGCCAAAAGTTCACACTATGTCGACGACGCCCGCCAACACCAGGTGTTGAGGACCAAGTGTTGTGCAGTAAATGCATATCTTGTAAGTGAGGTACCACAGCTGCATTATCATACTGTTCATAGTGTGAGGCGAGGATTATGACCGAGATTATACGGTAGAACATTGCGAAGCCGGACCAAGAGTTGAACGCAGAACCGAGGCGACGGCGAAGATGACTTCGGACGCCCATCGTCTCGATGCGCCCGGATGGGCACCCTCAGAGGTCTCCGGGAGGTAAGCAAATCGCATATAGGAGAACCGTGTGTCTACGGAAATGAGTAACTTACGCTCCAGTGAATGAACTAGGGGGTGAAGATAGGCTAAGGGGTTGTCTTGAAATCGTTGGAGATATGTAGAGACCTTTCTGGCAGGGCCAGTTATGAAACAGACACGATGACAATGAGTATTGTTGCCTGTTATACCTTGTCAGAGCTGTCGCAAATCTTCGATTATCGTTTTGGTTGCTCTCCAAAGTGTAATGTAGCATTTCTAGTAGCTGACCTCTACAGAGCTAATACCACCAATGTTTCACGCCATCAATGTTAAGTATATGTGTGGGTTGTTTGAAGTCAATCAGTAGTAGTTGACAAAAAATCTATTCAAAAACATAAGCATTTGATAATACAAATCACATATTCACACTTATACTTGTGCGTGACCACTAGCGCTTGTTCAAACTCCGATCTAATCTGCATACCGAACAAATTTGTATGATTTCTGAAATTACGTATAATTACTGAAATAAAACATTTTCGTCAATTCTTGAAAATCTTTACTTTCATTGGACAATATTGACATGTTGCTATGGTGACCATGCGAAATCACGAAAGAGACAATGTAATAACTGCGAACGGCTTTGTCATCTCACCTACATATCAAAATCCCATAGTTTGAACAAGGAACATAAACGTCGCTTTGCGAAAAAAATCATAAAACTGGTGACGACTTACAATGCTTGAATCTTCAATGTTCGAATATCAACACTGCACCAAAATGGGCAAAGTCTAATAGCTCATCACCTAGATGAGCTTAAATATCGGCTTTACAAGATTAGTTATTCGTGTAAATTCCGTACTGAAACCTGTGGAACCGACGAAATGAAACTTGGTGTTGCAAAATGATATTCGATAAACTACACTGATACAGAAAGAAACTCTTGTATGAATCCAGTAACCACGAAAATATATATGCCGGTTGCAGGGGTTATGTCATTACGGGGAAAACGACTTCATTATATGACCAACAAAAAACTTTGACGATCACTATGGAAAAATATGATGTAGAGCAAAGCAGGCCCACTTTGGAAATGTTCCACTCAAATAAAAAATACCTTATTAAAAACAAAAACACTTGGACAAAAAGTCAGTTCTCCACACAGAAACGATTGTCAGAAGAATTCTCCGTAGTCAAGCAACAAATCGACATATTTTTTAGGAGTCAATGACAAATGCATTTTTATAAGTCATGAATTCTATTTCAATTTGTGTCAACTGGTACACTAAATAGATGAACTGACATTCGATTCATTGTGGAGAACTGTTTTGTTCTTGATGAATTTATTATCTATTTGAGTGGAAAAAATTTCAAAATGGTTTATAACAATATCAACAGTAATATGGAGACTCAAATAATTGGGTGTAAATTTTTTGAGAGGTGCTAAAGTAGGTGATCGGTTTTTGAAACTAAACTCTAGAACACTTTGTTACTTACCACAGGAAGACACTTCATCATCTCCAAAATCGGAAAACGTATCAGCATTGGCATCGTCATATGGATACCACTTACTAGAATTGACGGCACAAAGTATACAGCTTTTTAATTTTCTACGAGCGTTAAATTTTTTCAATTCTTCTATTGTGTCATTTAAGTGTATTCGTAGACCCTTATCTCTGTCCTGCAAAAAAAACGATGTTAAGTGAATGAATATTTTACTTTGCTGACATTGAAGGTTATAAGGTGTAGTGTCATAAACGATAATTTTTTTTAATTAAGTAATACGGGTGATTAATGAATTCAAGAATATAACAAGCTACGTTTGCAAATTGTAATGCTAGTGATTTTTGAATAATCATGTGTTCTTCAGGATTTTTTGACACATATTTAGCAGATAACGCACTGGTTGTGTTTTTCGATATCGGAATTCATGTTCACTTAATAACATGAAGATTTGGCTCTACTCTGAGTTTTAGTAATACTCAAATGAGACTAATATGAATTTTCCATTATTTTTTGATTGAATGAATGTGATAAAAATAAACTATACATTCTTCAAAAATAATTTTATCTCGATTATTGAAGTAAAATTTAATATTTTTGGTAGTGAAATGAATGATTATGTTAACTTTTCGAAAATTATGTATTTTGTGTCTCTTTTAAGAGGCTTAAGAACTACTACGAGCTATCTTATTTCGAGTGACCGCTTGTTCTATATATAACCTATCTATACAATTGGTGGATTGATATCGTTCCAAATTCTACAATTTTGTTTGTTCACGTACCCATCCATTCAGAAATGGGTCTCATCGCTGAAGATGATTTTTCGATGAAAATTAGGGTCAATTGATAATAATTGCTCTAGAGCCCATTGAGCGATAACACGTCGTAGTATTTCTAAAATGACAACTCAAAAATCGTTATTCTTGAGTTTAGACTATAAAAAAAATCGGTAAATATTTCTTTATCTAAACTGTATCAACATCTAAACTGTATCAACTTGAAACAGTTTACATGATAATGTATCAACTTGATACAGTTTAGATGATCGATAAAGAAATGTTCACCGATTTTTTCCTAGGCTTAACTCAAAAATATTGTATTATTTTAGAAATACTAGTGCGATATGGTCGTTTACCTTCAGTTCCTGGGTGAACTACTAACAGGCCTTCTTACAGGTCACTGTCATTTGAATCATCATATGCAGAGACTCGGACTGTCGGAAGACACTGTGTGTCTCTGTTTGGAAAATGATGAAACAGCAGAACACATACTTTGTGCCTGCCCAGCTCGGAACCGAATCAGGTTTTTAGAGTTCGGTAGAGCCGTACTCTTACCATCTGACCTGAAAGACCACTCACCATACAAACTAATCGGCTTCGTTGAAAAGCTGGGTTTATTTAGTCGACTGTGAATAGGTGTGAGCTACCATAAACCCTTGCGGGTTGCGGTAGGGGGTCTAATAGACCCACTCACTTTGGACCTAACATAACCTAACCTCCAAAACATTCACAAAATGTGCGCAATGATTTGAACGACAAATTTCGTGTAGAAGGGTAAAAAACTTAAGGTACATAGGCCTTCCCAGACTTATAAAGGAAAATCTGAAAATTATGTTTTTGGATTTTTACGAATAGAATTATTATTAAAAAATTGATTGATGTAGCCGTTACTACGTTGTAGGAGATCATCATGAAAAATGATAAATGGAACTTTCTATGTTTTTTACCAACAGTAACTATCGTTACTGCAATTTCGTCCTATATGGACATTTCAAAAATGATACAACAGTGTATTAGTTTGAAAATTCATTAAAAAATAAATTGTTTTTCTGTTTGATTATTGTTCTTGATGATGCTATTTATTTCAAATGAAACGCTATAAAAATGAATTTTGATATTATAACTTTATCAATATTTATAATGCAAGAGAAATGTCATATTTGGGAAATTCATTAAAAAATAAATTGTTTTTCTGTTTGATTATTGTTCTTGATGATGATATTTATTTCAAATGAAACGCTATAAAAATGTCAAGTGTGATATACCACTGAATTTTGATATTATCACTTTATCAATATTTATAATGCAAGAGAAAGGTCATATTTGGGAAAAAATTTTTGGTGGCCGTATTGACATGAAACGTTCAATCAAAGATTTCTTGTTACATCGTTACAGTACATTTCGAATACAATAAAACTGTATTTTCCATTTTTTTATAATTCCAGAAATAACAATTCTATTCGTAAAAACAAAAAGAGCATTTTCAGTTTTATCTGTATAACTCAAGGAAGACGAAAGTTTCTATGAATTTTCTTTAAGGATTGTACTGGTTCCCACGATAGTAACCTTTATAAACGGTATGGCACTGTCTGTTTCTTCATTTAGGTCAAATTTAGTAATTGAAGTTTAACACTCTTGCTATTGACAAATTGACCTGATCACATTTAGTTTCGATGACAATACAATTAATGAATTATGAATCATTGTAAATTCAAGATGGCCACATCTACAAAATGGCGGATTACGTATTGTTTCACAACTACCTCAATATGGCTATCAAATGACAATGCTTTACTATCAGAATAGTAGTACACTTTGAAAAAGATGCAAATTCAAGATGGCCGCAGCTACAAAATGACGGATTACATATTACCTTGTAACATGGCATTGAATGAGGCACTAAATGAAACAAGCAGAATGAAAATTAGTTAAATTGTTTTATTGAAAAAAAAAAGATAATATTGATGTAGATGATGTACTGAAAACTAAAAATAATTCAGAAGGTCCTAGGTAGCAGACATCACATCACTCACCTCAGCAATCTACGATAATGATCAGATAAAAAATAATTAGATCGTTGGGTGTAGTATTTACATATTACCTCAGGTTACGCTACCGAGGAAACTAACCTATGTAGAACGATATTTGAACAATTACTCCAACCATCATCCGCCACAGAAAAAATGGCCCATTGAGAGCAACACGTATTTGTAGACCAGAAATGTTTCATCGGAAGAATTCATTCATACAGGTCCAGAGTGACCAAAATCAACAACCTTTACGAACAAGTCAGAAGCACTCTACTCTGGTACCGGAACGGACTATACCTAGTAGATATAACTTTTTTGTCTTCCATAAGTAGTGTAAACAACCAGTCAATTAGTGTTAGATCAGTCAAAAATTAATCTTTATTAAAATTAGAAAAATCGCGATACGAAATCCACTTGAAATTATCCTTTTTAATGCCGAAATTCTTAATAGTGCACAAAATGGCCATATGATTAAAGATTCCTTGAATATCAGTAATATCCACATTAAAAATTATATCAGGAGATCAAGTAAAGTTTGACTTCGAGTGGTAACTCTAAAGGAAGAATTATTTAACTGGGACAAGTTAAAGGTCGAAAGAAATTGATAAACGAGATCGGATCGGTTATCGATTGATAAACGATTGATATTCAAGTCACCCGCCATTATGAAATAGTCACTCGCAGGTAATAGATTTAAAACTGTTCCTTTTAATTCATTGGGACATGTTGAAATATTAGACTTGGGTGGACGATACAATATTCCGAAACAGATGTTTTTTCCCGCCGAATTTATTGAGATCCAGAGTTGTTCGAGTCCAAGACTAATTTTGAAAAGCAACATTATAGGTTAAAGTGTTCTTACAAAGCTATGTAGCCCCCTCTACCATACCTATCGGCTCTGACGGTATGATAAGTCGCGATAAGTCTGCATTATAATTTTAGCTTTTTCAATTTCGGCCGCATTGAAAGAAAAATACACTTGAGTATCATCGGCATATAAATGATAATTACAATTGGAACTATGATGAAAGTTTAAAGTATAAAATGTATTTAAAAGAGGACCAAGAATTCTACCTTGTGGTACACCTCGTAAATGATTAGGCTATCTGAAATTTTATCATCCATCTTCACATGTTGTTGACGATCGCGTTTGAATAGGTGTGAGCCACAATAAACCCTGCGGGTTGCGAATAGACCCACTCACTTTGGACATAACCTAACCTAACCTCTTTAACAAAGTAGAATGTTCAAAAGCAGTACGCGCGGAGTATACAGCAATTACCGATCCAGACGATGATGCAACGACGTCAAGTTCCACGGTTTCAAAGGTGAAAAAAAAAGTATGATGAATCATATATCACTTTCGGACTTGCTGATTCCAGCGGCCCACTTCTCTGCATGCTGTGTAATGAACTGCTTCCTAATAGCTAAATGGCACCTGCCAAGTTGCCCCGACATTTAGAAACTGTACACCCTGGAGGTGCGAAAAGGTTAATTTTTGTTTCGAAATTTCAGATAAAAAATTGATTAAAACGGATAGAAAAGCATTAGAAACCTAACGTAACCTAAGATAACCTAACCTAACTAATGCGTGAGGAAGTTCTTTCCCTTCGTGGGCATCTAAATTGTCCTTGTGATGCACTGTTTGGAACCTTTGGGGTAGTAATGAATATTACTGGAGTTTTTTCCCAACACCAAACCGCTATTTTAACACCTCGACACGTGTTTCGATCATCAGGTAATCATCTTCAAGAGAAAGACCTTCCTCTTCCGCTGGCTTCCATTCTGGATCATTTTCACTTTCAGAGGGTGTTATCGTAATAATTAAAGATATTTATGTTCACAAATACTTCTTTTACGATGAATAACAATAAACAAGCGGAAAATTAAATTAGCGTATGTGCCCCTTTGAGTTTCGCACCGTGTGACTTGTGTCACATGAAAATAAAGGGTACCACAAAGCACCGTGAGAGTTTTCATGTTGATCGGACCATGGTCTCATAAGGAACTTCGCCCGAAAAATCTGCAAAGCATCTTTCTACTGTGTCCCTATCAAACAATACTGTTTCACGAAGAATTCAAGATCTGGCAAGCTACGCCACACAAGAATTAGTTACATGTCTACAAAAAACACGATTCGTCTTGCAAATGGGTTAAGCTTATCGCCCACTTGTCTAGCACAGCACTGAGTTTCATTTCTTCTAATAACTGATACTTGAATTTGCATAGTGATTTGAGTTTGAAGAATGATACTTTGAAAATGTTTGTCACATGCGGAATTATACGAAAAACACTTTTCTCTATTCCGTTTGTATTCCAAATATTCATATGGAATCGAATCAGATATCATTCACAAGATTCCTCCACAATATAATTAATGAAAGAAGTAAATATACTTACATGAGACATTGTCATCCTCACTGCTAGACATCCGATGGTTCGCCGTAAGACAGTTACCTTATCGGATCTCAGTAGCAAATACGGATAACAATATAAAAAAAAACACTCAATTCATTCATAATTACGACTGTTTGTCACGGAATGGATTGAATCCACCTATCTAGGAATCTTGTTTAAATTAATAGGGTATATTTTATGGAGAGATCAATTTTTGGGAATATTCCCACATTTTTTTGTATCAAGACGGAGAAGTAGAAGACCTTTTTTCCCAAACATACTCTTGTGTTCACCGCTGCCCATAAACAATACCGGAGAAATTTCAAATAATACAGATGGGGCAAAGGCGATGACGGGTAAAACAGCAGGAGTAGTGTCATGAATAAAAAATAAAGCGCCTAATTGTAGTTCCAGCCATTGTATCCTGCATAGACAAGCACTTGCGGTGAAGCACATGCTGCCAAATTCAAAATTAGTTATGGATGAGGCGGTAAAAATAATTAATTTTATCAAATCACCACCACTATAATCTAGATTATTCTCATTATTGTGTGAAGATTGTGGCAGCAAACATAAAACACTGCTGCTCCATACAGAAGTGCGATGGCTGTTTCGGGGTAAAACTTTAACAAGGCTATTTGAACTCATAGCCGTGTTGCAAACATTTCTTTCAGATACGTATTTTAATTTGAAAGGCCGTTTGTATGATAAAACTTGGTTGTTCCGACTGTCTTTTTTGGCGGATATCTATAAAAATCTGAACGAATCAAATTTATCATTGCAAGATAAACAGACAACAGTGTTTCAGGTCTGTAACAAAATAACTGTCTTCAAAAGAAAATTAGATTTTTGGATTATTTGCGTGTCGAGAACGAAATCTCCACTTTCAGAAAGGACAAAAATCAAGATAAATATATCTCAGTTCCATACCACAATATACGAAAAACTTTGGAAAGATTTTCAAGGATCTAGGTATGAAGGTGGTTTTTAAAACAAGTCATACACTGCAGAGCCTTTTGTGAAGTCCAAAAGACGAAGTCGAGAATTCGGAAAAGTCTGGAATTTACGAAATTAAATGTAAGGACTGCGATGCAAAATATTATGGACAGACAAAAAGATCTACTAAAATAAGATATAAGGAACACTTAGCCCAATTTAAATATGGAAGACCTGAAAAATCAGCAGTCGCTCATCATATTTTGCAACAAAACCATTCCATAGACTTCACTTCATTAAGATTAGTTAGACAAGTTAACAACAACAGGCAACTAGATGCCTATGAG